GTACGATATGGAGACATTGCTGACCTCGACAATGCAGTCTCATCGCACCAAAGTGCTGTGGATCTCGCACCAGGCAAGGCTAATTGTTTGAGCAATCTTGGAAGATCCTTTCAAAATCGATTCCAGCGACTAGGAGACAACGCCGATCTGGACAATGCAATTCTACAAGGCCAAGCCGCAGTCGACCGAGCATCAGATGACGATACCGATAAACCAATATATTTATCCAACCTAGGAAACTGTTTAGGTATCCGGTTTATGCATTCTAAAGACCCTTCAGACCTGGACGAGGCGATTATATCACAGCAAGCTGCCGTCGACCTTACGCCAGAGGGTAACCCTGACAAATCTCGTTGGTTGACCAACCTCGGTAGTTCACTTCTTGATCGTTTCGAATTACTCGGAAATACTGCAGATCTAGACAATGCAATTCTAGCAAGCCAAGACGCTGTCAATCTCATGAAAGATAGTAACACTGACAAACCGGCTTGTTTGGCTATACTCGGTCGCTGCTTTGAGAGTCGGTTCCTACTACGTGGTAATCGTGCCGATGTTGACAATGCAATCCAATCGCACCAGGCCGCAGCTAATCTCATTTCAGAAGAAGACTCCAGCAAATCTCAGCACTTGATTATGCTTGGGGGAGCCCTTATAACCAGATTTCGTAATTTCTACGACGTGGATGACGTCGAAATGGCCCTTTATCATTTTGCTTCCGCCGCAACTTCCCGCTTCTCACCTCCATTCAAACGCTTCAACGCTGTGGAAAATTGGATAAATTTGGCATCTATTATCAAGGGAAATGCTTTGTTGGATGCCTATGAATGTGCGATCGGCCTTCTTCCACTCATTGCATGGCTGGGTCTCCCGATACCGGACCGGCATAAGCACCTCATTCAAACGGGTGGAATCAGTCGCGATGCTGCTGCTGCTGCGATCTCTCTTGAGAGATATGACAAATCTATTGAATGGCTGGAACAAGGCCGCTCGGTGGTTTGGTCACAAATTCTCCAGCTTCGAAACGCCTCTTGACGACTTGCGTAATGTCAAGCCGGACCTTGCTGAGCGCCTTATCGATGTATCTCAAGAACTGGATCGTGGACCTGATGGTATGAAGGATATGCTCTCTACAGAAAAGCAGGGGCAACGACATCGAGCATTGACGATAGAATGGGAATCGATCATCAAGCAAGTCCGATCATTGCACAATTTCGAAAACTTTCTAAAAGCTCCCAATGTGTCCCAACTTATGAGTGCTGCTCAGGATGGACCCGTCGTCGTTTTGAACATAGCCAAAGAGCGGTGTGATGCACTGGCCATTGTCGCGGGTCTTGAAGATATCATCCATATCCCACTCCCGGATATCACGGCCGAGAGAATTACCGAACTACGAAGTGAGCTAGTGGGATTACTCTCTACAGTTAATATACGACTTAGGGCAGCAAAACGAGTACGCAAAGCCAGTGCGGAGGAAGGTTGCAGACACATTCTCTCTGAGTTATGGAAAGGAATTGTTAAACCAGTGCTCGATTCATTGGCAATCTCCGTAAGAATAATCTCTACATTGATGGTCCATTTACTGACGACGCTATATTAGCCTTATCCAGACGAACTTCCACATATCTGGTGGTGTGCCACTGGACCCCTCGCCTTCCTGCCAATACATGCAGCGGGTATCTACGATTCAGACAGTGAAACGGAAAGGCTCGTCAATTATGCCATATCGTCCTATATACCCACCCTATCTGTCCTCCTCGACTCACCAAACCCAACACCGAGTTTGCCTTTCAAGCTATTGTCGGTGATACAATCATCAGCTCCCGGTGCATCCACAATCCCTAACACATTAGAAGAATTGAAACGCATCCAGCTCTATATCCGGGATGGCGATCACATTGTGCTCGAGGAATCTCAAGGAACGAAGGAACGAGTAAAGGAGCAAATGGAATATTGTAGTTGGCTCCATCTAGCATGCCATGGTGTACAAAAGCCAGAAAGACCGACAA